CACTACTAGGATTTTTTTTTTTTTTTTCAGGACATTTTCCCCCAGTTCTCATTTCTATAATATGATCATTTTTTTAACTACAGTAAATTACATTTTGACAATGTTTTTTTGAAACATGTTTTAAAATCAGTTATTTTGATTCAGGAAATACAGCAAATGCTACCATGATGCATACATATTTCAACATTATTTTTTCATGTTACAGTAATGAGAATGAGACACTGTATTTTGTAACTCTAAGGTTTAGACACTCTGTTTACAGTCATTAGAATTGGAGAAATAAAGTAAGTTAGATTTTCAATACAATGTCGGAATTCGTCTTTGAGGGTTCATTACAAGAAAATAGGAAAAATTAGGTGAAGAAGAGAAAGATCTAGAGAGGCATCTTGGGAGCTTGTGTGAAGTATGTCTCTCCTCTATGTCAGTGCAGGTCAAAGGTTTACGAGAGAGACATTAAATCCTTGTTAAGCCCCAGTGATCAGTATGCTGGATTACAGCCTCTATGCGCTTTACATACAGTATGAAGCACGAATGCACTCCTAAGCGCACACTCTCATAAGTACACATGCATAATTATTGTAGGAGCATGTCTGCTATTGTGCTAATTATACTGACTCCAAAAAGTTTTGGGAAATTTTATGTCATTGCATTATATAACAAAATATCAAAACGGCATTTGTTCTAAAGGATGGCAGAAACACTTTTCAAGCAAAACATTTCACTAAAAACATTTCACATTTCACTCTCAAATCAATAAAAAATTAAGTCAGTTTAAAACTAAAAACCTTGACAAAAGGAACCGCAAAATAAATGTTTTGAGGAAAATCTCTACATTTATTTATTTCTAAACTACACTTTGTTTGATAGTTTACCTAATGCAATGACATTGTGATATGCTTACAGTAAGTGGTGACTTAAGTGCCCAAATATTTTTGTTATCATTGTATATACATAGTTGAACAGTATTTTTTAATCTGTTCAGTTTAGTTTATCTAGGCTATCATTGTGAGTTTTCTTTTTTTTTAGCTTTATAGTTTCCGTTTATTTTGTTTTTATGTTGGTTTTAGTATTATAGATCTGCCAACGTTAATTAACAACTGGTATAATAAAAAAAAAAATTCATAATTTCATAATTTATCAGCACAGTTTAGAGTTACTGCTGTCTTCTCAGGTGGTTGCAAATAGGTTGCAAGTTTTATAATATGCCATCAAAAACTCAAATTAATTTGTGGCCATTTTTTATTTTATTAGATTTTATTTAGTATATTAATTTTTTTAGTAATAATAAGCAAACTTTTAAAGACAATAAATGCTTCTTTAGGTGCCCTTATTCTGAGTTTTGGTTCATAGCGTAGAACTCTGCAATTTCCAGGCTGCTTCAAAACTGGGCATTCATCTCTATTGTCAGTCAGTTTGTTTGGAAAGGTACAGAGGTCATCTTGAGTAATCCCAAACTCTTTGGCGCAAATTACAGTAAGGTTATCCGTATTCATTCCTTTGATGTCAATGTGGTGTGATTTGTACTTTTAGTACAAGTAAAGTGTAATGAAACTACATTCTGTTAAATAGCCATGTGTGTTTGCAAAGGCACTGATCCACAACCAGGGTGTATGTTTTTTTTCGGGTGCATGTTGGTAGACACTTCTGTGCCACTAACAGAGTCAGCGTGCTTGAAGGTCATAATGGTCACTTGAATATGAATATGGCCTGATGTCCTGTACATCAGCAATCTGTCCCATTCTTTTCCTCATCGTATTCATACAGACTGCACAGTGAGCCATGAAACACTAAACAGCCTGTAGCATCACGCTACCATTCGAGTTTAACATCCGTCTGTTCAAACATGCCGTGAATGACATAAGGAGGACAGAAGACGATTTGCACAAACCAACAGTTTCTCTCGCAGGGTCAGTTTTATTCAATGCTGCTTCCATCTGTATTTATCTGCACCTCTTCCTTTCTTCTGTCCTTTTGATGCGCTATATGCCATGTTTTCTGAAGCCATACAATTTCTTTAAGTGAGGAAAAAATTTCATTATTCACTAGACATCTTAACATCTGAGTTTGTAAGAGAAGATCTTTTCAATAAATGTTGAAGTTAGCATTGGGGTTTGAAATAGGCGTTGGTGCTGAGGGTTAATATCCATATTAGATCAAGGGGTGGAAGTAAGGAGTTTGGTTGGTTGGCTCATG